GTTCGTTTGACTAAACGTAAAAATTCTCTAATTAGTCTGGAAACGGGGGACCTAATTCTTGCATTTTGTGAAAACGGGTAAGATTAGCTATAATGTAATTATCTTAATCTTCACTATCGTTACTTTTTGCCCAGCGAAGCGGGTCCTTGCAGCTAGATTCTAGATTACTTAGAAAAACAGTCTTTTATATATATAAAAAAACTATATTACATACAAATAAAAACCCAGCAAAGCGTGTCATTGCAGCTAGTTTATTATAAATTACCTCAAAATATGTAGGCTTTTTTTCAACCTCCAATGGTCCATAAAACAAAGACAAATGTAAATAACAAAATGAATTTATTACCAAAAGTTGAGTACAGACATGGTTACTTTTTGACTTAATCACTGTGAAGATTGAGGCATTTGTCATATCTGTGGAAGAGCTTTGCAATCCCCTCTTCATAGAGTGTTGTGGCCAGTGACTTGAGATAGGCCTTAATGTTGTTTTGAAGATCATCACTGGTCTGAAATATCTGCTCTGCTAGCCACGTTTTCAGTTCAGGAAAGAGGTGGGAGTCGTTCAGTGCAAAACTGGTTGTTAAAAATGTTCCAAGCTGGGTGGAAATCTTCATGTGAAGCCTTTAATGTGTAAAACTTCCACCTCTTTCCTGAACTGAAAACCTGAGATTTGATACCAATGATGCTCTTCAAAACAACGTTAAGGACCATCTTCACAATGATTATGTTGAAAAGTAACCATGTTTGTATCTAACTTTTGGTAATAAATTCATTTTGTTATTTACATTTGTCTTTGTTTGTTTTATGGACCACTGAAAGTTGAAGAAACTGCCCTCGTATGTTTAATCATATCTCATTAAGTGTTTTATATTTAAGTCAGTTGTATCAATTTGTTTTATGCTGATATATTTATTTTTAGTGTTGATCTGATGATATAAATCATCTCCAAAACATTTACACACAATAAATCTGTAACTGTGAACTTTATTAGCAAAATTAAATGCTATTCTTAAGTCTAAGTGTTAACTATGGAGTTTTTAGTGTTGAGGGAATTAATAAGAAAGTATATTTTGTGGCTGTGTGTTTTTATTATGTGTTTTATAATATTAGCAATTAATATAAGTATTCTTTTTTAGCCTCTTATATAATATAAGTAAATTTTATTTCATATATATCAGATGTTATCAAGTATTATGTTATCAAATCAAATTTGTTTTGCTATTTCTCTGTTGAAAGTAATAAGAAATTAATTGTAATTTCTAGTTTATATCATACTTTCAGCCCCTCTCTTCAGTTTGAAGCTGCTTGGGCTTTGACAAATATTGCTTCAGGAACATCTCATCAAACTCAGGCTGTTGTAAGTGCTGGTAAGATAGAATGAAAATTATTTTTAAATAGTTGCAAAAGAAAATGTATTAGACAATTTAAATTTAATTGTTTTATTTTGTTTATAGGTGCTGTGCCATTATTTCTAGAACTACTTCATTCCCCGCATCAAAATGTTTGTGAACAGGCTGTTTGGGCTTTAGGAAATATCATAGGTAGAATTATGATAGTTTTATCAGATTTTGTAGTAATTCATAATAGTTGATAGCCAGTTAATTCAAAATCAATTATTCCAGGTGACGGTCCACAGCTTAGAGACTACGTGATAAGGTTAGGAGTGGTACCTCCATTATTATCCTTTATCAAACCAGATATTCCTCTGTCGTTTCTACGTAATGTCACTTGGGTCATTGTAAATTTGTGTCGCAACAAAGATCCACCGCCTCCCGTGGAAACTATTAAACGATTGTTACCTGCACTTTGCATGCTTATTCACCACAGTGATATAAATGTAAGGAATGTCCTGTAAAAGTAAAATACTTTTAAAGTAGTTTTTTTTTTATTTTTAAAACATAATTTTTAAATTTATATATAGATCTTGGTAGATACTGTTTGGGCTCTTTCATATCTTACTGATGGTGGAAATGAACAAATACAGGTATGTCAAAATTATACTTAAATGAATTTGTTCACACTAAAAGTTTATTTAATCTGTTTATAAGTCTTATTTACTTTTTTTACTGTTGAATCAAATACATATTTTAAACAGAATCTTTTAAATATATATGTTACTGTGAAAGATCAAAATTAGAGAATGTCGATATTCTTTGGTGAATGTCGCCACATACAAAGTACGTTGGTGAAAGACCGAATATTTGGTTATATTATTATACATTTGAATAATCACCGGTGTATGTCGACAAGCACAGATAAGCTTTGGTGGAGATCGAAACGACATCCGAGAAGCCAATTTTGACAGAGAGACATCAGTCTGTCGCCAAATTTTTTGTGGGTAGCCGGAGGTAGGACAAGGTCGTACCTCTTTTCCCGGCAACGGTTTGGTGGAAATTGCCTACTTTGTCACTGGATGGCATTTTTATTCTTTTGATCCCGTGAGATGGGGATCGGTTTGTCAGGTCAAGTGGCGGAAGATGAGAGGTGTCATTGGTAAGGCGTCAGCGATATTCAAATAAAAGACACCATTAACAGATCAGTTCGTAATCATGTAATAATGTAATCAGTTTGTAATTTGTAAAGAAAAGTTACTTTCCGTAGATGAGATTTCTTCTCAAGAAATATTGCTGAGAGAAGCAGCTGCAGCTAATTTGAAAAGTGGAGGGCAAGGCTATACACGCTGTCATTGCAAAAAGAAGTGTTCCACGAATAAATGCAGTTGTAAAAGCAAGGGACTCTTGTGCAATTCAAAGTGCCATAACAGTTTAAGTTGTTGCAATAAATAAGATTGTATAACGTTAATCACATAATTTATGTGTAAGTTTATTATTGTATTATTTTCTTTAATGATTTAGAATGTACTGTTCGTTTTAGGTTCAACAGTTTATTTACATGTGCTGTTACTTAAGCTTTCTCCTATTTTCACATATTAAAAAGTTGCATTTTTGTCTTAACGTAATAAAAATATTTTTATTCAACATTCACCAACAGTGCATGCCAAGTGTTGACATTTGCCGGTGTAAGTGAGAAATAATGATATTTAGCAAATATTTCGTACATACACGAAATGACTGTGTGAATACTAACATTCACCAGAAAATTTCGACATTTGCCAGATATCAGTCATTCACAGTAACACATACACCTTCAAAGTTGTGCAATATAAATTTTATTATGAATTATTTTGAAAGGGCAAAACCATTTATTCACTTAAACATTTTTAGTTTCTCTATTAACCCTATATAACTAATCATTCATCCACACGACGATGCATCTCTGCTCGAAAGTGAAATTCAGAAACTTTCTCATGCTTCCTGCCAGTCATTCTTTTTCTACCTTAATAATTTGAATAAACAGTGCTATGTGTGATGTAATTATGTTCACACGTCAATTAGAAATTCACTTATGGCCATCTCGTAGTCCACTTGGCGAAAGTTTAGTTACTATGTAACTTTGTTGCAAAGTCATGTACATTATGTACATTGTTATGGTTGCAGATGTAAACAGTTAGTACGTGATAAATGCCATTCCCTATTTGGGAAAAGGTACTGCTCCTCAGAAACAAATATTGGCTATGTTTTTCATAAAGGAAATAACATCTATTTTACATGGAACTAACTGTAACATTACTATGGATAACAGGTTCACATCTGTATCTTTGGCAGATGAACTATTGAAGTCACCTTATAATTTGACCTTAGTTGGCACTCTTAGAAGTAACGAAAGAGAAATTCCTGAAAAATTAAAAAATTCTAAATTGTGTTATTGGTACTTCAATATTTTGTTACAACAGCAATAAGACATCAGTTTCGTACAAAGCCAAGTCAAATAAAGTTGTTTATGTTTTGTTGACTATTCATGATTAACTTACCATTGATGAAAATACAGGAAAACCACAAATAATACATTTTTATAATAGTATAAAGGGTGCGGTAGACACAGTAGATCAAATGTGTTCAAATATGAGTCAAAACCAAAAGGTGGCCACTATGCGTGTTATATAATATGCTAAACCTATTGGCAATAAATAGCTATGCTATTTATTTCTCTAATAATGTTAGAAACAAAAACAAAACTTATGTCCTGGTGGGATTTCTTTATGAAGATGGGAGACAAACTCATGGAGCCCTGGCTACGACAGTGGTTACAGACAGTGCCTTTGAGGCGTGATATCAGAACCATAATACTGGATATTCTAGGTGATGTGCCCAGTGAAGAAGCTTCTACTCATTCTGCATTGAATCCATGTAAAATATGCTATTTATGTCTATCGAAAGCTTGATAAATGACAAAACACTGTTGCATGAAATGCAAAAATGCATTTTTGTGGCCCCCATAATGTTAACATGTAGAAACTGCATGTAATCTTATTTCCTATTTTTATTGAACAATTTTGCTGATATTAATGTTTTTTAGTGCCTAGTCCGCTCGATGAATGTGTAGTTATAATGTAACTGAAAATTAAGTGTAGTTATCTAGGATTAACATTATGGAGAAGTGTTCTAGAATAGTGGTGGACAAATTTTTCTGGATAAGGGCTGCAAGTGAACTTCTAAGTTCACTTGCAGCCCTTATCCAGAAAAATTTCACCTTCTCTGGTAGGCCCCATGCATTTTTTCTTTTGGAGTTTTGGGGTTTAAGGCTGTTAAATACCAACATACTTCATAATCACAAGTAGACTAGGTAGTAAGAAATATATATACTAATGATACAAAAACTAGTAATATATACTTTATTTTCCATTATTTTCCTGGTCAAGTTTAGTTTGAATGTTCTTAATCACAAATATTAGCTTAATTAGGATTGCATTATGGCATGAGTCAGAAAACGAAAAAAATAAAAATAAAATTGTTAACAAAACCCCAGGCATTGCCCATCAGGACCTCTTGGGCCATGGGTTGTTTATTGCTGTTGAATAAATTATTTTTATTCTTTCAGTAAGCAAGCATTAAGAAAATTAGATGATTATTTACAGAAAATTCAAAAAATTGTAACTTTTTATATTTATTTTAAAATTTCAGAATTACAACACAAACTCATAACTTACTTTTTATATTTAACTTTGCTTTTATTTCATTTAATTATTACTAATTTTATTTAATTTCATTAAATTGTAATTGTAAGTACAGTAGAGCGTCGATTATCCGAATCAATTTGGGACTAGGGTTGTTCGGAAGATCGATGTTTCGGATAACTGATTACGTACGAAAAAATATATTAATTTATCCCATGTTGAAATTTTTCTCTGTTGCGTGTCACTTTGCATTGAATTTTTGTCGATGTTAAGCCTAACAAAGACTATTGTATCGTTAAAAATTATTTTTTTATTTTGTACAAACAAAATAAATATATTGAAAAATATAAAAACAATAACTAAATTATACTTCAGAAGTTAATTTAGTATCAAAAACATAAAATATTTGAGTAGCCCAAGACATAGCCAAAGATTGCAGTGCCCAGCACTGGCGAAAATTTAAATTTGCCAACTGGAATTCTTTCGAATGATTGACTTTCGGATAATCGACGCTCTACTGTAATAACAATTTTTATCTAGTGGATATATTATACACGAACAATCTTATATAAATTGATGCAAAAATGGTGTCCTTGTGCATCTAAGTACCTTTGTGTTTGTGTAATTGTGTTTAGACTGATGTTTAGTAAAATAATGATGTCGATAGCTTTAATGCTTCTGCGAATGCTTTCCTCTAGTTTGCATATGGTTTTGGAAATTTGATTTTCCCCTGTAAATTTTATAGGGAATATTTAAATCACTAATGTTTCATTAACTCACTTGGGCTGATTTTAAGTGGAACATCTTGTATAACCTGGTTTGGAGACAGAATTGTTTTTCTTTCAAATTAAGATTTACATTTGCAGATGTGGAATTATAAAAGGGTTTAGGAATGACTGATAACTCAAATTTTTAGATTATAATTGCTTATTTACTTTCAATTTTTGTAATTTTATTTTTTGTTTTTATAGTAAGATATTCATTAGTATTCAGTAAAAATTGAATTAAAATAATAATGGCATTAATTTTTATTCATAGACCATCTCCATATAATTTAATATATATAAGTGAATATTAATTTCTAAGAGTGCATAAATTATATGAAACAATAGTACAGTATACAAGTAGAAAAATAATAATGATTAAGAAAATAAGTCTGATGTAAGAAATGACTCATTAAATTTAATATTTTCAAACATGTAATTAATTAGTTTTCAAGAGTTGTAGATGGATATGAAACAATGTTAATATAAATTCCTAATTCATTGTGATTTATTTCTAGTCTTCTAAGTATATGTTAAAAAATGATGGCAATTAGCTAATTTTTTTATTCTATGTTTAAGCAAATCACTCAACCACTACTTTTTCAGTATGAATTAATTAAGTTGTTACTTCTAAATTTATAAAAGCAGGGAGAGTAACTAAAATATGAAGTTTAGAAAATAATGAGTGAATGGTGATAAATATGAAGATGTGTATTTTCTTGTGTTACATTGAAACATATTTTGGTATAAACAAACTCTTCCAATGCAATGAATTAGTTTCGTGTATGTTATTTTGAATTATTGTATAATCTTATCTGTTAGAAATTTTAAACATTAGATATTTTTGTTTAAGATGGTTATTGATTCTGCTGTGGTCCCTAACCTAGTTCCATTGTTAAGTCACAAAGAAGTGAAAGTTCAGGTAATAAAACCTTAATTTATTTTTTTAATTAAAATTTAGTTTTTGTTTTGTGTGTGTTATTTTACTGCTTAATTCAAACTGTTGTTATTTTGTTTATTAATAAATTTAATTTATATTAAATAATAATTAAGTAATAATAATAATAAAAAAATTAGTGATATAAGTGAAATAGTAATGAAATATTTGTGGAAAAGGTATTATAATTGGTTAATTTGCATATTTTTAAATAGACAGCAGCTCTAAGGGCAGTTGGAAATATAGTAACTGGTACAGATGAACAAACACAAGTGGTACTAAATTGTGATGCTCTGTCACATTTTTCATCTTTGCTCAACCATCCCAAAGAAAAAATTAATAAGGTAATATATTTTTAAATTTTAACTCAACTACTAAATGTAATTTTTTTTTTCATGTGGGTATAGATGGCATCAGTTATCCAACATAAATCTTTTGTAGATTGTGTAATCTACTTCGAGTATGTTAATGTTATACATATACGGGGGGTGCAAAAGTAGGTATATATGGTCCGTTCGGATATGTCGGGCCCCATCCCTCACCACCCGGTCGCCCCATTGTGGGCCTGGCTGAACTCATAATGGGCCTGCATAAAGAGGTACCCTCTTAGTGCCCAGAGGGCAGAAAGAGTTAAAAATAAATAAAAAAGAAAGTAGGTATACAGTGGTTATTATGGGAAAGAAACATACAGGGAGAAAAGAAAAAAGGAAGAAAAAACATTTATTTTTATGTACAAATTAAATTACACATAAGGAATACAAACTAATAAAAGATGATAATAATGAACACCAAACATTTGTATTTCTCAGATTCTCAATTGTATACCTTCTTTTGCACTTCCCCTGTATAACCTACAATATACAGGTATTTCTTGCACTGCAAGACATGGAATCAGATGAAGCAAGTTGACTTTTACAAAGGTAAAATAGGGATGCAATTCCTGAAATGTATTTTTAATCTGATTATAAATCTACACAAGAACTGAATCTTAATTATTCTTGGAAGGAGTTTTTCTTGATTTTTTTTTGAGGTCTTGGGTTAATGGATTGATGATTTTAAAACATATTGAAGATTGTATAGTTGTAAAATCAGATCTGTTGTAATTTTAAACAATTTAAGACAAATTTATCATTTACAATGCTTTTGATCCAGCAGCTGAGAAAGACTGAACAGTAAGGATATGGAACTGAAAGTTGATTGAATTCAGAATCTGTTTTGATTGTTGAAATTGTATCACAGCAAAATTGCTTAATTTAACATCACTTGTAATAAGAGATACCTGTATATATTTGAGAGATAATGTGTACTGTAGGCATGAATATAAAATGGTAATTTTATTTATATTAAAGACTATTACAAATTATTTCTTTATATTCTAATTTTAGGAAGCAGTCTGGTTTTTATCAAATATAACAGCTGGCAATCAACAGCAGGTTCAGGCTGTTATTGATGCTGGATTAATTCCAATGATCATACATCACTTAAGTAGAGTAAGTTTCTCAATAGTTTTTATGAAAGTTATATACATTGTATATTCTTTGCTTTCTGTTATATTTTCTTTGTTGTAAAAGTAGTAAATTAAAGCATTTTTAGTTTACACAATACTTCACATTTTTTCACAATTTTTAAAAAAATACATATAAACTATTTTTCTGATTTTTTTTTCTATATGTGAAAAAATTTATTTCTAATTAATTAAACAATCTTTTAATCATTGTTTGTAGGGTGAATTTCAGACTCAAAAAGAAGCTGCCTGGGCAATTAGTAACTTGACAATCAGTGGAACTAAAGCCCAAGTGGCATATTTAGTGAACGAACGAGTCATTGCACCTCTATGTAATCTTTTGTCAGTGAGGGATCCTCAAGTAGTTCAGGTCGTGCTCGATGGCATCAATAATATTCTTAAAACGGCCGGTTCTCAGTTCTATGCTATTACCAATCAAATTGAAGAGTGTGGTGGTAAGATTATATTACGTTGACTTGATTTATTGGTATTCTTATTTATTTTTGTGCACTAATGACTTTTATGGATTATTTTAGGTTTGGATAAAATTGAAGCTTTACAGAATCATGAAAATGAAGATATCTACAAATTGGCTTATGAAATTATAGATCAGTATTTCTCTGATGATGTAAGTAAATATTAAAATTTTTCAACCATAACAAATAAGTTTTTTTTTTACACTATTTTCAGCCTTAATAATTTAAAGGGGTTTAGAATACAGTGGAACCTCGGTATATGACCTTAATCCGTTCCTAGTGTTTGGACTTATACTGAATAGGACATATACCAAACCAACCTTTCCCATAAGAAGTAATGTAAAAATGATTAATTTGTTCTCATGTAAAAAAAATGGCTGGCTTTAAACACCTCGCTTTCCTGGCTAGTTCCTGCTTGATTTTTCATGAGATCAGCATTTATCTTTTTAGCCTTCTTGCAAATAATTGCTTCTGATATGCTGTCGCCAGCATGCATGCCACTTTCATATTTCTCAACAATTTTTTTTTTCAGTTCCATTGTGATTCTAGCAAATTTTTTTAGTTTTCTGTTGCTTTTCATTTGCCCTTTTGCAATTCATGATTAATAAAAATAAAAATAAATTCTGATTTTAATTTGTAAGTAAATAAATTTTACTTACAAATTAAAATCAGAAAAAATCTAACAAAGTTATAAACTGTTGCACCGCGAACGTTTAGTCTGGCCTAGTACACTGATAGTGCTACTTGTTCATAGATGGCACGTGTAATTGAATTAAGTCGTATACCAAACAAAAGTCGAATACCGAGCAAAATATGTTTCGTCCAAACAGGACATATTCCAAATTGGACGTATTCTAAAGCAGACGTATACCGAGGTACCACTGTATTTACTTTTTTATTCAAATATGCCATTTTAGAAAAGTTAGTAATTTCTAAAATTATAATTGTAGATATATAGGGACCTTGAATAAGTTCTCGCTGTTTTCCAACAGATGACATTACCAGAACTACATGCATGTATTTTTAGATGGTGACGCATCTGTAAGGAAGTACAATAAGTGACCGTGAAATTCAGTATATGTCATTACGCGGAAGTGTAAACAATTTATTTTTTTATAGTGTTAAACATGTTGAGTTTCCTGCCAAAAAAAGGGTATTTGTGGGGAATTTATTGCACTATTTTATTCAAAAAAAATCTGTAGCTGAAGCACACAGAATTCTTGTTGAGACTTACGGCGACCATGCTTTGTCGGAAACAACATGCAGAGATTTGTTTAGATGCTTCAAAAATGATGATTTTGATGTTGAAGATAAAGAACGATCTGGTGCACCAAAACAGTTTGAAGATGAGGAATTGGAGGCATTACTTCATGAAGACTCATGTCAGACGCTAGTTGAACTTGCAGAATCATTAGGGGTTGATCACACAACAGTTTCGAAACATTTGAAAGGATTAGGAATGATTCAAAAGCAAGGACCTTAGGTGCCATACGAGTTGAAACTGAGAGATGTTGAATGGCGTCTTTTCACATGTGAACAGCTGCTTCAACGGCAGAAAAAGAAAGGTTTTCTGCATCATATCGTGACAGGCAATAAAAAGTGGATACACTACAATAACCTTAAGCGTAGAAAATTGTGGAGTAAGCCAGGCCATGCATCAACATCGTCAGCAAAGCCGAATATCCATGGTTCAAAGCTTCTGCTCTTCATTTGATGGGATCAGCTAGGTGTAGTTTATTGTGAGCTGCTCAAACCAAACGAAACCATCATGGGAGATTGCTGTTGACTACAGTTGATGCGTTTGAGCCAAACATTGAAGGAAAAATGGCCATTATATTAGTAGAGACTACAAAGTGATTTTGTGACATGACAATGCTCGGCCACATGTTGCATAACCGGTGAAAACCTACTTGGAAATGCTTAAATGGGAAGTCCTACCCCACCCACTGTATTCACCAGACATTGCCCCTTCCGATTATCACTTGTTCTAATCGATGGCACATGGCCTGGCTGAGCAGCACTTCCATTCTTATGAAGATGCCAAAAAATGGGTTGATTCTTGGATAGCCTCAAAAGACATGTTTTTCTGACATGGAATTCAAATGCTGCCAGAACAATGGGAGAAAGTAGTGGCTAGTGATGGACAATAGTTTCAGTGATATGTTTTTTACGACTTTTTTAAAATAAAGTGTTAATTTTCACGAAAAAAACAGCGAGAACTTATTCAAGGTCCCTATAATAGATTCTGCTTATTGTAGTATTTTGTCATCATCAGTTGTCTAATATCTTCAAAATTAGTATTGTTTCAAAAATACAAATATTACTCATTGTAGTACCAGTTATAGTTGTCATTATCTTTAAGTCTTTCTCTGTTAGCGTCAACATATGGCTGATAATGAACAATTGTTATTTGCTCACAGAATAATAGCTATATTTAATTAATTGTTTTATTTAATTACAGTAATTCTTACGTCAGTTATAAACTGGATGGATTACTAATAATAATAATTGTAAACTTTAAAAGGACGTGTTAAAACTATAAATTTTCATATCAGAATCATCAAATCCACAACTAATACTAATTTTAGTCTAACTGACCAACATCATGAAGAGAGGGGGTAAGAAATTATTGGGTTGAGTAATACATCTTTGCATTTTTTTTTATGTTCACTTTAAACAAAATGTTTAAAGTGAACATAAAAAAAAATGCAAAGATGTATTACTCAACCCAATAATGTTCACTTTAAACAAAATGTTTAACAAAAGTGTTAAACAAAATGTTTAAAGTGAACATAAAAATTTATTCAGCTTACAAATACAAAGAATTAATAAATTATATATGATTCATTTTGTTGTATCACTCACTAGTTGTTATCTTTCTATGAATTTTTCAGTTCCTCTTTGATTTTGAGGCAATATATTCTGCAATAGTATTTTTGTCTTCATCAATTTGACCAAACTTTTTTGTATTTAAATCCTTCTGTAAAGATCTAAACAAATAATAATCTGATTACAAAACTTTCCTCTGAAATTCTTTTATTTTTCTTATGGTTAATTTGGTAACACAATGTTATGGTCCAGTATAATGGTCTTGCAGTTTACTAATGCTGGTCTTTTGTCCTTTAATGCTTTGCTTAAACAATCTAATTGTTCACAATGTGTGTTGACATTTATGGTTTGGTTTGGATCTAGTATTCCCTTCACATCCCACCTTATGCACAACATTACTTTTTTAGGGGACTCTTTTTGGTGTGGATGTTGAGGACTCTGTTGAATTTAACCATGATCATTTCCATTGAATATTAGTGTATAATATCCATTTTTCATCTCCATAATTTCTTGAGTAAAAATGGATTTTTCTTTTGATGATTGAATAATAATCCAGCATTAGTCAATCATTGTGCAAGATCAGTTTCTGTTAACTTGTGCAGAACCACATATCTGACTTAGGAACTTTAACGAGCCTTTTAACATGGTTTCATACAGGTTTTTGGCGTACATTTAGTTTTATAGCCAATTCACTTGTTGCAGTTCTTGGATTAGCTTCAACCAATTGGCTCATCATCTTTGAAGCTAAAATCTCTCTTCTGGAATTTAGCAAAACAAAACTCTGCTTTTCTCACCTTTAAAGTTTATGGCATCAGTGCCATAAACTTTGTAAAATTCTAATGTCGTTTTATTTGCATTTAAACCTTTTCAGAAACAAAAAAGCAAAACATGCTTCAGATGGATGTCCTCTGCTTATATTTCAGAGAACTAAAATGTTCATAAAATAAAATTAAAACTATTCAAATCAGTTTAACGGACTGGTACCATGTTCCCTTACTTAAACTCCAAATATCACACTTTTTTGTGAAAACTTACTGCTATTGTAAAATGTTTAATTGGTCAATAAAAAACAGAATGACTTATTTCTCAACTCAATAGTTTTGGGTGTTGGCAATTTCCCAAAGTGATTACAATAAATGTATTCTATTGTAAATTGCAGTTTAAATTAAGATATTTTTACTCACTTTGTTAATTATGGTTGGGTTAAACTGTTGAAGTAGTGTTCAAAGATCCTGAAGGAACATCTGAGTACCACTTCCAATAATTACATAAAATATTTTTTATATTTTGTTTGTAAATATTGATATATAAAATATTTACACACAAAATTATCACTTACTTGCTAGATTTTAAACATTTATTGAAACTTAGCATTTACTATAGAATGTATAAATTTTCATACATACATCATAAATTCGTATTATGACAGTTTTCCCTCCTGTTCAAAGTTATTGATATGCCAATTTTAGAAATAAAATTAAAAGTATATTTGTTTTTTCAACTTACAAAGTTCTTTTGTTGTTGTTATATGGTAGAATCTTGCTATTCCAGCCATTCCTTGCACAGAGTAATGCCGGATTAGTGAGTGTATAGGACTAAAGGCAATGAGGCCTGTTGCCCTTCTGTACCAATTCTTTTTGGAGCTGTATTTTGTTGTTGTGAAATTATGCACAAGGATACAGTAATTGCAAGTTCAATTCTTTACTGATGTTACCAGTTTATAACTTTTTTAAACACATATCTCTCTTTTATTCATGTTTACTATTTTTTAACGGATAGTTGAGAGGATGTATTTACAAGATTGTATTATACATTGATCAAACAAAAAGTTCATTTTGTGAGTAGCAGACACTGGGAACTGGTGGCATCTGATATGTAATGTGCCACTGATTTATTTATATAGAATTTTTCAAATGTTGTTCCTCAAATCCATAGTTAATAGATATTCATTCAAGAGTTACATGTTTCTCATGGTATGTATTATGCTGACTCACATCACACTGGCTTTGCATAAAAACTTTCTGCTTGATTACCCAGTAATTAATTTTTAGAACTGAATATCAATGTTAACTTCAAGTTGTATTTAAAATAATAATGTCATATATAATTTGTTTTCTGTAATTTAAGAATTAGTCATAAATGTAACGTGGTAAAATTACAATTTCCACTAACTTCAGAATAAAACAAATTAATTGAAAGTAAGTCAGTTCTTTGAATTTTTCTACATTAAAACATTAATTCAAATGAAATTATATAAACTGAGTAAATTATAATGTAGCATATTTTGTAGTTTGGCAGATCTGATTTTACTGCCTCAAGTATTTGATAAATTTAAAATAAAGTGATGTATTTTTTTTATTTACAGGTAGACGAAGATCCTAATCTTATGCCACAGACATCAGATCAAGGATATCAATTTGATCCAAATGCTTCTATACCTACCGACGGCTTCAAGTTTTAAATTGCTACATTTAAATAAGCAAAAATAAAGACTGAAGTTTTGTTGTAGTGATGAGATGAAAGACTGCAACATTACAAACACCTTGTATAGTGCTATTTTAGGAAGGTTTCTTAAACCCCTATAAGACTTTTTATTAAAGAATTGATGGCAAAGTGTAAAGGTATCAGCAGTTAAAGAAAAAGTATCTTATTGTGCGATTAATTTCAACTTGTAGTGTTAGCATGCTAATGTTTAATTCACTAAAAAGTAAGTTGATCTTTTGGGTGTAATATTCAACAAAACTAGATATTTCGATGATAACAAAAAGTTTAAATGATGTTTACAATAATTTATGATTTTTATTTGATATTTCACCATAAAGCAGTTACATAATATGATTTGGAAACTTTTAAACTTTAGTTATGCTTTTAAAGTGTCTAATTGTGAGTATTTACGATAACTTTTTTGATTTTTGCTGCGCTCATCAGTTGGTCAGAAGAGGTTTTCGGCTAATTGCATTTGTATTCTAAACGTATCGCATCGGTAATCACCTTAAACTCTCTTTAGGAAAAAAGAATATTAAAAATATAAAGAACGATTCGTCGTGCAAATGTTCCAGTCGGGGTCTTTACTTAAAGACAAGTTGGCAATTCCATGCATTGTTATGAAATTCCCGTCCACCTAACTTACTTTTTGCAACTTCCTCAGAAAAGTGCATGCATTTTTTAACTGGAAAGCCTTACTATAATTTAAGTGCCAAAAATTTATTTACAAAACGAGAAAAAGGACGACAAATGGAATATTTGCCGATTTAAAAAAAATGGCAAAATTAAACAATGCATGTCCGAAAACTCCATATCTTGACATACATATGTCATTGATAAACCAAAGCAGTGCATTCAAATATTGCACAAAAGGGATTAAAGCCCAACAAAAAAATGAAAATCTCCAAAAAAAAGAAATTTCAACATTTTGCATTTTTATTCATATATTTCATTGTGTAATTAAAAAATGTTGAAATTCTCTTAGTTGCTTGTTATGTACACAAGATAATTTTTTGTTCTCTTTACTTCCAAACCAGAGGACATGAATTTGTAGCATGTCACAATCATGAAAATATTTATATTTAGAAATATTTTGATCATTAGATTTGTTTGAATAATTATTATTATTTTTTAATATTTAAGTAATTTTGTTAACATAATCGAGCATGTTAACGGTACAGGAAATAAACAAGTTTGTTTATTCCGACGTCTAATTTTATAAATTCCGAACTCCGCAAAAGACGTGGCATCATTCAATCAATCATCGACTCGTGCATTTCGTGCAAATTTTATTTATTTTTTAGGAATTTGTGAATTTTTTTTAAATATTGGAATTACTTTATACAAACATTCCTATAGTATGAATTTGAAACCAAATACTCAAATATGTGCAAGAATTAATTTGTTATCTAAAAAATGTGTATAAATTATTTATGTGTTATTTTCGCGTTTCTGTGTAAAAAGACAAAGAAATATTAGAAACAAGAGTACAGTTCATGTCCTCTGTTACCTCGTGGCAAAACTTATCGTCGGAACAAAGCACGACGGCTTTCGGATGCCACGTACCAACGGAGGTGCTTCCGCGGCACCGGAACGGCGGACGGCGGCTTCGCCGCACCCGAAAGACGGGCCGTCGATCCGCCCGGCCACGCGCGCAAAAGCGTAAAATTAAATCGACTGCCTCCGCACGCACACGCTCGGTCTGGATCTGCCACCTTTAGTGCTTCGTTGCAGTTTTGCCTTAAGGAATTTAATTGCCAACATTTCGAAACAAAAGCCAAGTCGGCATGTCTGTAATTACAGTCGGTGTCCATTTAAAATGTCTATTCCAATCGATGGGTGTTGCACTGTCTCTTCAGAAATATGGTGATAGTGATCCGTAGTAAAGACAGAGCTAGCTGGTTTATCAGAACAGTTGTTCTATGTATTATATCAACCAATAAAACAAAATAGGCTGGATGTAAATAGAAAACAAACACAAATTTTGATTAATAGAAAAGTCATTTTTTTTTCTTTAGTATTGTAAAATTTTATTATTATTATTATTATATTATTATTATTAATTATTATTATTATTCCAAGAGAATTTTTCTCCTACAGAATTAGTGTTAAAATTGAGCTTGTATCTGTTGCTTCTTTCGAGACAAACGAGCTCCTGTAAAAAAATAAATCATGATTTTTATACTGACTTATAAGAGTGTTAACCAGCACTCAAGGTTTAAAAGGTGTTTACTGTTGTAAACTAAAATCTTGGTGTATGGCTAAATAAAATTTGGATCTCAGTTACTTGATTCCAAAATTTTCTGCATTTTTTGTATTTTGTTGTTTGCTCAAAGTCCATAAGAAAAAAACAAACATATCAAAATAGTATCAGTAAGACTTCTCGGAACTACGACAAGACACTGTTTTCAGCAGTCTTCCGCAAAAAGCAAAAGACTAATCGTGTTTAGTGTGATTACACTACAACGAATCCACATTCACACACACAGATTAATAATATGATTCTTACAAAGTGAAACGAAATTGTATTCAACATCTGTGATATTTGACATAGATCCACGTACTTAACACGTGTATATCTAAAGTATTTTATTGATTTCTTACATTTTATTCATTACAAAAGTGCCGATTTTCATTTTGTTGCTGCAATCAGTTTGAGTAAATAACTCAATACTAAGTATCGTTTGAAAGATTTCATTTACTTTACATTGAATATTAGTACATACCGAGGTATACTTGTTGATAACACTCGCTGTGCCGTTTGTGGACAAGGTACTCGCATATAGTTGTAGTTTAGGTTCTGCCACTATGATATCAAGGCTAAATAAAAGCTAAATATTGTACAAACTTGATAAAGTTACTATAGAAAATACTAGAACATAATGGCATACCTCCGGACCATCCATTGATAAAATGAAGTTTTATAAGAGTATTTTAATTTTATGGGTTATTTATTTTCTTCAGTTTTTTATCTAATATTTGTTTTCATTGTTTTATGCATTAATTAGGGCGTTGGTTTATTTTACCATAAATTACGAGGTTTTAGAATTAAAATGGATATTTTTGGGGTTTGGGAATGGACTGATTCACTTTGTTATACCTTATGAGAAAAATTGCTTCGAAACTCGAAGGCCCTATAGGGACGAATTGAATTCCGGTGTCGTGGCACCATTGTATTCAATTATTCGAATATTTAATGTCATTCTCGCAATTGGTTTCAATAGCTTTGATATTTCAGAAATCAATTGTAAACGAGTGGACAGATTTTGATAAATGCCTCATTATAAACATAATTTTTTTTACTTCCTTCTGTTATAGATAACGGAAAAAAGTTGATAAATAAACTGGAATAAACTATAAATTAAAGTGGAAGGATTTGTGATATTTAATTAGTTAATTAATATATATTTGTACCGTTCAGGTTTTTCTTGGTCTATTGTACTGTGTTACTGTATGTTTATAAAAATTCACAATCTGTTTTAAAACACTTACGAAAATCCTGCACACCTGGCTAAATACAATGTGTGAAGATCAACAGTTACACGCAATACTAATTCACAAATAATTAGTAAAATTAGCTTTTATTTACTGTTTTATTATTTCCCGTTACTATTCCCTCATACAAGAATCAAATATAAAAAGAAAACAATGAAAGGGATTAGTAAATACTTCTTATATACGTTGCAAATAAAAAGTGAAATCTATAATATAATAGCTGTAAAATAAAATTAGATAAGAAAAGAAACAGAAACGGAACATACACCACTGCATACCTTTACTTATATAAGATATAATGGATAAGATCGAAAACATTTGAAGTACTTAAACGATGGAGTAGAATCTATAGAGGGTCAAACGAAAACAAAAATATACGAAGAACCCTCAGAGGTAGATTGAGGAAGGAGGAGAATGTGAATATCCAAGACCAATCGAATTGAGAAGGGCAATAACAACTCTAAAAAACAACAAGGATTCTGAGGAGGATGGAATAGTATCGGAAATGATAAAAGCAGGTGGTGTGAAATTGGAACTAGAGATAGGCAAACACGTTAAGAAAATCTGGAAAAGTGAACAGATACCACAAGAATAATAGAGGAATTACTTTGTTGAATGTAATTGGAAGAAGGATTGAATGTATTCAAGAATTGGAATAGAGGAATAATATGCCCAATACACGAAAAAGGAGACAAACTTGATTGTGGTAACTACAGAGGAATTACTTTATTGAATGTATCAATAGTTTGCTAATATTTTTGAAAAAAATGTTAGCAGGATACATGGAAAATATAGTGGGAGATTATCAGTGCGGTTTTCGTAATAACAGATCAACTATAGATCAAATCTCCACAATAAGGTTAATTCTGGAGAAATGCTACGAGTGTAATATTGAGATACACCAACTTTATCGACTTTAAAAAGCTTATGATAGTATTAGAAGAAGAAAAGTTTGGGAGAGTCCTGGAATTGGGAATACCTCAAAAACAAAATATATGAAGTTAATTAGAAAAGAATGCCAAGGGCCAAGTGGACAAATTCTACATATAAAGGAACATAAACTTGAACAGGTGAATAAATTTCAGTACTTAGGAACTCGGCTAACAGAAAAGAACGAAATTGACAAAAGAAATTAAGGCAAGAGTGACAGCGGGAAATAGAAGCTATTATACTTTAAGACGAATTCTAACATATAAAGAAATATCAAGATGTAGTAAGATTAGAATATATAGAACTATTATAAGACCAGTAATCGTGTATGGCTCCGATGTTTGGACACTGACAAGTAAACATGAAGAACTGTTGAGACGATTTGAGAGGAATATTTTGAGAAGAATATATGGCCCGGTACAAGAGGGAGGAGAGTGGAGAATAAGAAGTAATAAGGAACTCGAAGATTTATACGAAAATTCTGATATTGTGACAGAAATCAAAAGAGGAAGATTTTGATGGATTGGGCATTTGGAAAGAATGGACTCGGATCCGGAGAGAAAGGTGTATCGAATGTACAGAGAAAGACTAGAGGGGAGAAGGTTGAGAGGGAGACCACGAAAAAAATGGGATGAGGATGTGGATGTGGAGGCTGATTTAAGGATTTGTGTGAGCTGCTGGAGAAGAAAGGCTCAAGATAGGAATGGGTGAAAATCCTGAATGAGGCCAATGTCCTTCAAGGACTATGAGGGCCAGAGAAAAGAAGAAATATGCTAGTGAATTCTTAGTTTTGTATTAAACTAGCATACCACACGATTAGCAAGTTGAGAATGTCCAATCTCATTCACGTCAACAATAAACACTACACAGTCGAGACGTTTCAGGTATGCCAATGAAGATTTAAGAAGTGAAATTTAACACTGTGTGCCTTGTATATAAGAAGCATTGATGCTATTATATTTTGGTTGTGAAAGGTCGAGGGGTGGAGAAATAGCGGGTAGTCACGCGTCATATCTCGCGTGGAGTCGGACTTAATGAAGATTTAACTTGTTAGCGCACAGTTTTTTTTAAATAAAAGTTATCTCTACCCTCAAAAGCAGACAACCGCTTGGCCATTCGGCCAAGGTGACGGCCGAATGACCAATTTTCTTTCGTTAATCATCCGTAATAGTATAAGTACAATGGCTAGAAAATATAGTGTCGAAAGCGCTTATATTCCTCCATTATAACCGTTCGGTCCATACATCGAGGTTAGTGACGTCACAGACAAGGTGGCGCTGATGTCAATCGTACTGCTACTTTCGCTTTGGCTAAGTGATATCCTTTCTTACAAGAACATCGAAAGCGATTAAATTTGTGCTTGTAAAGTGAATAAATCCTTAGGAAATGGCTGAACAGAAACTTTACTGACTTGTGTATTTCTAATTTATAGATATTACTCTACTGTAATTTTTAATTCTTTTATTTTTGTCGAAAAGGGTGAGAAATCTACATGCATATTAATCTGTAATTTTTTAAGAGAGATTTTTCAAATATAAAGTGTATATGCATGGGTACTTGGCAGTAGACTAATAATCGTTTATTTGTACATACTTAATTTTGTAATTTTATATTGGGACAATAAAGTAACATTCTGCCTTTATATTTTATATACTGTGTAGAATTTAATTGTAATTTTAATATTGCTTTATACTATGTCACATAATACTGTGAACAGTATACAGTATTATGTAACTGATGGCATTTGCTTAATAAATTCTATTTTAGGCCCTCACAGTGGAAGAGGTTCACAAAGCCATATAAAACTTACATTTTATTATTAAAAATATGATAAATTCTGTATTTTTTTAGTAAATATGAATAAACCTTGTTGTTAATAAGGTAATAACAAGAGTAGATTACTCTTGTACTCTAAATAATACTTGTTTGTACAGCACTCAACAGCTGTAATGTAAAAATAGACAATACAGTGTAGGCTATTTGATTTAATAAGAATCTTAATTAGCTTTAATAAAATGAATTCCTTCATAAATGTTAATAAAGTAATACTATATAATAATTGATTGCTAGTGATATGATTTATTATCGATCTAAATTCTTTTACTTTGCTACAGCACATTTACTATGCTTAAAAATCCCACTTAAAACCAATATAAACATAGGATGATACAGCCAGTGTAGCACAACGATTGACAGCAGCGCCTCTTGCGGCAACCTCCAATATAGGGACAGAAAATAAGCTCGATTTCGACACTATATTTTCTAGCCACTGTAGTATAAGTAAGTTAGAAGAACGAGGTGCCATAAATCGCGTCAAAAAGTTCTATAGTAACTGTTTAGATTATTTAGAAGACTGGATGTATTATACTTGTAAATTTTACATGTTTAAAATTAAAAAATATAATACAATACATAAATTTGCGTTCTTTGATAATAAAATTTTGTTGCTGTAGAATAATTCTTTTCAACAAGACAACACTCACTCCCCTCGTCAATTTTGTCCCGCTTCACTAATGTTAAATTCAGGTCACCTTAATCTATACATTACGTGTTTGAGTACTTATGGTGTTTGTGTTAAGAATTAATATACAGGGTGGAAAAAGAAAGCCACTTAACACCCGTGCTACGAAATATAGAATGTGCCCAAAGTTAATTTCGCTCGTGTCAGGAACATATTGCACCAAGGTGGAAACAGTGATGCGTGTTACACGTATTGAGCGCCACTCCGAAACTGTAAATGGGAAAGCGAGTCGTGTTACTTATCATTTAGGGGTCAGAACTTCACAAGAAATTAATTTCTGAAATATTTATTGACCTACTTCAAACGGTTACAGAGTTAGGAATTAAAAAACAGACAGCGCAATGCCTCTAACACAGGAAGAACACACAGAAATCGCCCTAATGGCACGGGAGAAAAGTTCGAGGGTGATTGCACAGAATTTTAATCAATGTCATCCACACGTGGTCAACCTACTCCAGGAATTCTGAAAGACGGGATCGGTTCAATACGAGATGTTTTAAGTAACACAAATAAATACGACAAATAAACAATTTTTAAATCCTGTTTAAAAAAAAAAATTCTGATAATCAGCGTTAACACGTACTTTTATAATCTGTTGTGTCCGTAAAACAATCGATTTTTCGTATGTCACAAGATTGACTATGTTCTAACAGGAAACGGCGAAACAATGTTTAGGTGTCTCATTTATAATCTGTTCAATATAATATATAATTTCGTCTCGTGACACCGAGAATACTGTGAAAGCTGGAAAAAATAATTTTAGTTTCACATATGTAAAATATATATTGTCATTTGCATCACAGCTTCGGATTGAGGTGGTGTAGTTCGATACTCTAATGAATTCCATGTAGTACGAGTCACAGATTATACAAATACGTGAGCCGTTCACAGCCCGGCACACGTATTTGTAAAATCTAAGTGACTCGTACAATATGGAATTCATATAACACGGAATTATCAACGGTGTTATAGGGGGTCTACTGTACTTTTTCTTGCTTATTGATATAAATATGGCAACAAAAATGACACAACTTCTATAATATTGGATCTGCAATATTAATAAATGTGCAAAACAAATTTTTATTGGTATAACATTCGCTTAACGTTAATACGATATTGTTCCTGCCACTGCATACGAGGAGACTAAAAACTGTATACGTAATATTTCTGTTGGGAATGACGAATCAATATCACCGACGTCATAAATGATCGTAGCAATAGTAGAGGAATCGAATGTCACTAGTTCGGTATTCCGCTTTATTGTTGATTGTTTTCTGAGGAACGTATTCATTACTTTAGTGTGGAATGAAATAGAAGTATCATTTGCGCAAGATGAGGTTTGTTATCATTTTACAATTCTTATTTGTAGTGGTAAATTCTTGTCAAGAGTTTTGGAAACGTTGGGAAAAAGTTTCTTGTCCATCATACAAAAACTGCCAATATTCAAAGAAATCATTTATTCGAATATACCCCTCATTTTTATTTATCGGTTGCCGGAACGAAACGATTGACTCTCGTTTCACGCAATGTTTGGACGTTAATATAACTGTAAAATCAATAACATTTTCTAATTGTTATTTGTCGGGAATCGATTTAGGAAATTTCACGTTCGGGCACGAAATCGAAAGCATCGAAATAATGCCTTCAGTATACTCGCACAGAAGAAACTTCGACAGCGCTTCATTTAGTAATATGTCGTCTCTGAAATCTGTCGAAATTCATCGTGTGTGGACTTCCGAATTGTTTAATATGACTTTCCGCAATGTTTCTTCTCTGACTTCTTTGATAATTGATATGTATAATTTTACTTTATTTCCGAATAAACCTTTCCGAGATTTAATTAATCTTACCGAATTACATATCATGATGGGAGAGTTAAAATTTTTACCAGCGGATCTATTTTACAATCTTCAAAATTTGAGAAGTTTGTTCTTAGATAGCAATGAAATCGAATTGATTCATTCGCACGCCTTTAGAAATCTCACTCGACTGGAACATTTATCTTTAACAATGAATAAAATTAAAAATTTACATAGTGACACGTTGAAAGGACTCTCTAACTTAAATACATTTTTTATTAATTATAATTATCGATTATCGGTAATTCCCGCCGGATTATTCAAAGGACTGCGCAACTTGACGGAATTTCAAGCAACGGGTTGTTCCATTTCCGAACTCGAAGACGACGTATTTTCTGACTTAATTAATTTAGAGTCCATTTCTTTAGATTCGAACGAAATTGAATATCTNTTACCAATGTTAAAATCTGGTCACCTTAATCTATACATTACGTAATTGAATACTTATGGTGTTTGTGTAAGAATCAATGTACAGGGTGGAAAAAGAAAGCCGCTTAACACCCGTGCTACGAAATATAGAATGTGCCCAAAGTTAATTTTGCTCGTGTCAGGAACATATCACCGAGGTGGAAACAGAGTGATGCGTGTTACACGTATTGAGCGCAACTCCGAAACTGTAAATGGGAAGGGGGTCGTGTTACTTATCATTTAGGGGTCAGAACTTCACAAGAAATTGATTTCTGAAAGATTTATTGACCTACTTCAAACGGTTACAGAGTTAGGAATTAAAAAACAGACAGCGCAATGCCTCTAACACAGGAAGAACACACAGAAATCGCCCTAATGGCACGGGAGAAAAGTTCGAGGGTGATTGCACAGAATTTTAANAATTACTTTATTGAATGTATTTGGAAGAAGGATTGAATGTATTCAAGAATTGGAATAGAGGAATAATATGCCCAATACACAAAAAAGGAGACAAACTAGATTGTGGTAACTACAGAGGAATTACTTTATTGAATGTATCAATAGTTTGCTAATATTTTTGAAAAAAATGTTAGCAGGATACATGGAAAATATAGTGGGAGATTAACAGTGCGGTTTTCGTAATAACAGATCAACTATAGATCATATCTCCACAATAAAGTTAATTCTGGAGAAATGTTACGAGTATAATATTGAGATACACCAACTTTATCGACTTAAAAAGGCTTATGTTAGTATTAGAAGTGGTAATGAGAAAAGTATATGAGGAAATGGATGTAGATGCAGGAGAAACGATTTTTAAGAAACATTTACAGTGCTTAGCATTTGCGGGTGATTTAGTTATATTGGGAAGATCTAAAGAGGTAATCGAAGAGGCATTTAAACTAATGGATGAAGTAGCAATAGATAAAGGCCTAACAGTTAATGACGAAAAAACAAAATATATGAAGTTAATTAGAAAAGAATGTCAAGGGCCAAGTGGACAAATTCTACATATAAAGGAACATAAACTTGAACAGGTGAATAAATTTCATTACTTAGGAACTCGGCTAACAGAAAAGAACGAAATTGATAAAGAAATTAAGGCAAGAGTGACAGCGGGAAATAGAAGCTATTATACTTTAAGACGAATTCTAACATGTAAAGAAATATCAAGATGTAGTAAGATTAGAATATATAAAACTATTATAAGACCAGTAATCGTGTATGGCTCCGAGGTTTGGACACTGACGAGTAAACATGAAGAACAGTTAAGACGATTTGAGAGGAATATTTTGAGAAGAATATATGGGCCGGTACAAGAGGGATGAAAATAAGAAGTAATAAGGAACTCGAAAATTTATACGAAAATTCTGATATTGTGACAGAAATCAAAAGAGAAAGATTTCGATGGATTGGGCATTTGGAAAGAATGGACCCGGAGAGAAAGGTGTATCGAGTGTACCAGACCAGAGGGGAGAAGGTTGAGAGGGAGACCACGAAAAAGATGGGATGAGGATGTGGAGGTTGATTTGAGAAGGATTTGTGTGAGCTGCTGGAGAAGAAAGGCTCAAGATAGAGAGGAATGGATGAAAATTTTGAATGAGGCCAAGGTCCTTCAAGGACTATGAGGGCCAGAGAAAAGAAGAAGAAAGAAATATGCTAGTGGAATTTTTAGTTTTGTATTAACTAGCATAGCACACGATTAGCAAGTTGAGAATGTCCAATCTCATTCACGTCAACAATAAACACTAAACGGTCGAGACGTTTCAGGTATGTATGTCAAAGAAGATTTAAGAAATGAAATTTAACACTGTACCTTGTATATAAGAAGCATTGATGCTATTAAATTTTGGTTGTAAAAGGTCGAGGGGTGGAGAAATAGCGGGTAGTCACGCGTCATATCTTGCGTGGAGTCGGACTTAACGAAGATTTTACTTGTTAGCGCACAGTTTTTTTAAAAAATAAAACTTATCACTACGCTCAAAACTAGAGAACCGCTTGGCCATTCGGCCAAGATTTCAGCCGAATGGCCGAATGACCAATTTTCTTCCGTTAACCATCCGTAATAGTATAAGTCAGTTAGAAGAACGAGGTGCCATAAATCGCGTCAAAAAGTTCTATAGTAACTGTTTAGATTATTTAGAAGAGTGGACGTACAGTAGAGCGTTGTTTATCCGAATCAATTGGGACGGGTTGTTCGGATAACCGATTATGTACGAAAAAATATCCCACGTTGAAACTTTTCTCCGTTGCGTGTCGCTTCGCGTTGAATTTTCGCCGATGTTAAGCCTAATGTAACATTTTTAAAATAATAATCGTGGCTATTGTATCGTTAAAAATTATTTCTTTATTTTTTACAAACAAAATAAATATATTGAAAAATATATAAACAAAAAAATTATACTTTAGATGTTTAGAAGTTAATCTAGTATCAAAAACGTACGATTCAGCACGACACACAGTCCTCAGAAAAACACCACACAAAAGTGCCAACGCTGCTAGCTAAAACACACATCAACAAAAATAAAATATTGGAGTAGCCCAAGATATAGCCAAAGATTGCAGCGCCACAGCACTAGCGAAAATTTAAATTTGCTGACTGGAATTTTTCGGATAAACGACGCTCTACTGTATTATACTTTTAAATTTTACATGTGCTTAAATTTAAAAAATATAATACAATACAATTTTTACGTTCTTTGATGATAAAATTTTGTTGCTGTAGAACAATTCTTTTCAACAAGACAGCACTCCCCTCGTCAATTTTTTCCCGCATCACCAATGTTAAAATCTGGACACCTTAATCTATACATTACGTGTTTGAGTACTTATGGTGTTTGTGTAAGAATCAATGTACAGGGTGGAAAAAGAAAGCCGCTTAACACCTGCTACAAAATATAGAATGTGCCCAAAGTTAATTTTGCTCGTGTCAGGAACATATCGCACCAAGGTGGAAACAGAGTGATGCGTGTTACACGTATTGAGCGCAACTCCGAAACTGTAAATGGGAAGGGGGTCGTGTTACTTATCATTTAGGGGTCAGAACTTCACAAGAAATTGATTGCTGAAAGATTTATTGACCTACTTCAAACGGTTACAGAGTTAGGAATTAAAAACAGACAGCGCAATGCCTCTAACACAGGAAGAACACACAGAAATCGCCCTAATGGCACGGGAGAAAAGTTCGAGGGTGATTGCACAGAATTTTAACCAATGTCATCCACACGTGGTCAACCTACTCCAGGAATTCTGAAAGACGGGATCGGTTCAATGCGAGATGTTTTAAGTGACACTAATAAATACGACAAATAAACAATTTTTAAATCCTGTTTTAAAAACAATTCTCATAATCAGCGTTAACACGTACTTTTATAATTTGTTGTGTTCGTAAAACAATCGATTTTTCGTATGTCACACGTTTGATTATGTTCTAACAGGAAACGGCGAAACAATGTTTAGGTGTCTCATTTATAATCTGTTCGATATAATATAGAATTTGGTCGCGTGACACCGAGAATACTGCGAAAGCTGGAAAAAATAATTTTAGTTTCACATACGTAACAATAAATTATCGAAGTAAAATATATATTGTCACTTGCATCACAGCTTCCGATTGAGGTGGTGTAGTTCGAAACTCTTATGAATTCCACGTTGTACGAGTCACTTAAATTTTACGAATACGTGTGCCGGGCTGTGAACGGCTCACGTATTTGTAAAATCTAAGCGACTCGTACAACATGGAATTCATATAACGGAATTATCAACGGTGTTATAGGGGGGTCTACTGTACTTTTTCTTGCCTATTGATATAAATATGGAAACAAAAATGACACAACTTTTATAATATTGGATCTGCAATATTAATTAATTTAATAAATGTGCAAAACAAATTTTTATTTTTATAACATTCACTTAACGTTAATACGATATTGTTCCTACTACCGAAAACGAAGAGACTAAAAACTGTATACGTAATATATCTGTTGGAAATGACGAATAAATATCGCCGACGTCATAAATGATCGTAGCAATAGCAGAGGAATCGAATATCACGAGTTCGGTATTCCGCTTTATTGTTGATTGTTTTCTGAGGAACGTATTCATTACTTTAGTGTGGAATGAAATAGAAGTGTCATTTGCGCAAGATGAGGTTTGTTATCATTTTACAATTCTTACTCGTAGTGGTAAATTCTTGTCAAGAGTTTTGGAAACATTGGGAAAAAATTTATTGTCTACCAAATGAAAACTGCCAACATTCAAAGAATTCGTATATTCTAATATACCCCTCATTTTTATTTATCGGTTGCGGGAACGAAACGATTGACTCTCGTTTCACGCAATGTTTGGACGTTAATATAACTGTAAAATCGATAACATTTTCTAATTGTTATTTCTCGGGAATTGATTTAGGAAATTTCACGTTTGGGCACGAAATCGAAAGCGTCCAAATAGCGGACAGACTTTACTCGCACAGAAGAAACTTCGACAGCGCTTCATTTAGTAATATGTCGTCTCTGAAATCTGTCGGAATTTATCGTGTGTGGACTTCCAAATTGTTTAATTTGACTTTCCGCAATGTATCTTCTCTGACTTCTTTGAAAATTGATATGTATAATTTTACTTTATTTCCGAATAAACCTTTCCGAGAGTTAATTAATCTCACCGATTTACGAATCATGGATGGAAAGTTAAAATTTTTACCAGCGGATCTATTTTACAATCTTCAAAATTTGAGAAGTTTGTTCTTAGATAGCNTTTGAAAATTGATATGTATAATTTTACTTTATTTCCGAATAAACCTTTCCGAGAGTTAATTAATCTCACCGATTTACGAATCATGGATGGAAAGTTAAAATTTTTACCAGCGGATCTATTTTACAATCTTCAAAATTTGAGAAGTTTGTTCTTAGATAGCAATGAAATCGAATGGATTCATTCGCACGCCTTTAGAAATCTCACTCGACTGGAACATTTGTATTTAACATCGAATAAAATTAAAAATTTACATAGCAACACGTTGAAAGGACTCTCTAATTTAAATACATTTTCTATTAATTATAATTATCGATTATCGGTAATTCCCGCCGGATTATTCAAAGGACTGCGCAACTTGACGGTATTTCAAGCAACGGGTTGTTCCATTTCCGAACTCGAAGACGACGNTTGAAAAATATATAAACAAAAAAATTATACTTTAGATGTTTAGAAGTTAATCTAGTATCAAAAACGTACGATTCAGCACGACACACAGTCCTCAGAAAAACACCACACAAAAGTGCCAACGCTGCTAGCTAAAACACACATCAACAAAAATAAAATATTGGAGTAGCCCAAGATATAGCCAAAGATTGCAGCGCCACAGCACTAGCGAAAATTTAAATTTGCTGACTGGAATTATTTCGGATAAACGACGCTCTACTGTATTATACTTTTAAATTTTACATGTGCTTAAATTTAAAAAATATAATACAATACAATTTTTACGTTCTTTGATGATAAAATTTTGTTGCTGTAGAACAATTCTTTTCAACAAGACAGCACTCCCCTCGTCAATTTTTTCCCGCATCACCAATGTTAAAATCTGGACATTTTAATCTATACATTACGTGTTTGAGTACTTATGGTGTTTGTGTAAGAATCAATGTACAGGGTGGAAAAAGAAAGCCGCTTAACATTCCTGCTACAAAATATAGAATGTGCCCAAAGTTAATTTTGCTCGTGTCAGGAACATATCGCACCAAGGTGGAAACAGAGTGATGCGTGTTACACATATTGAGCGCAACTCCGAAACTGTAAATGGGAAGGGGGTCGTGTTACTTATCATTTAGGGGTCAGAACTTCACAAGAAATTGATTGCTGAAAGATTTATTGACCTACTTCAAACGGTTACAGAGTTATGAATTGAAAAACAGACAACGCAATGCCTCTAACACAGGAAGAACACACAGAAATCGCCCTAATGGCACGGGAGAAAAGTTCGAGGGTGATTGCACAGAATTTTAACCAATGTCATCCACACGTGGTCAACCTACTCCAGAAATTCTGAGAGACGGGATCGGTTCAATGCGAGATGTTTTAAGTGACACTAATAAATACGACAAATAAGCAATTTTTAAATCCTGTTTTAAATAACACAATTCTCATAATCAGCGTTAACACGTACTTTTATAATTTGTTGTGTTCGTAAAACAATCGATTTTTCGTATGTCACACAATTATGTTCTAACAGGAAACGGCGAAACAATGTTTACGTGTCTCATTTATAATCTGTTCGATATAATATAGAATTTGGTCGCGTGACACCGAGAATACTGTGAAAGCTTGAAAAATAATTTTAGTTTCACATACGTAACAATAAATTATCGAAGTAAAATATATATTGTCACTTGCATTACAGCTTCCGATTGAGGTGGTGTAGTTCGAATCTTTTATGAATTCCGTGTTGTACGAGTCACTTAGGTTTTAGAAATACGTGTGCCGGGTTGTGAACGGCTCACGTATTTGTAAAATCTAAGCGACTCGTACAACATGGAATTCATATAACACGGAATTATCAACAGTGTTATAGGGGGTCTACTGTACTTTTTCTTGCCTATTGATATAAATATGGCAACAAAAATGACACAACTTCTATAATATTGGATGTGCAATATTAATAAATGTTCAATACAAATTTTTATTAGTATAACATTCGCTTAACGTTAATACGATATTGTTCTTGCCACTGCAAACGAGGAGACTAAAAACTGTATACGTAATATTTTTGTTGGGAATGACGAATCAATATCACCGACGTCATAAATGATCGTAGCAATAGTAGAGGGATCGAATGTTACTAGTTCGGAATTCCGCTTTATTGTTGATTGTTTTCTGAGGAACGTATTCGTTACTTTAGTGTGGAATGAAATAGAAGTGTCATTTGCGCAAGATGAGGTTTGTTATCATTTTACAATTCTTATTCGTAGTGGTAAATTCTTGTCAAGAGTTTTGGAAACGTTGGGAAAAAGTTTCTTGTCCATCATACAAAAACTGCCAATATTCAAAGAAATCATTTATTCTAATATACCCCTCATTTTTATTTATCGGTTGCCGGAACGAAACGATTGACTCTCGTTTCACGCAATGTTTGGACGTTAATATAACTGTAAAATCAATAACATTTTCTAATTGTTATTTGTCGGGAATCGATTTAGGAAATTTCACGTTCGGGCACGAAATCGAAAGCATCGAAATAATGCCTTCAGTATACTCGCACAGAAGAAACTTCGACAGCGCTTCATTTAGTAATATGTCGTCTCTGAAATCTGTCGAAATTCATCGTGTGTGGACTTCCGAATTGTTTAATATGACTTTCCGCAATGTTTCTTCTCTGACTTCTTTGATAATTGATATGTATAATTTTACTTTATTTCCGAATAAACCTTTCCGAGATTTAATTAATCTTACCGAATTACATATCATGATGGGAGAGTTAAAATTTTTACCAGCGGATCTATTTTACAATCTTCAAAATTTGAGAAGTTTGTTCTTAGATAGCAATGAAATCGAATTGATTCATTCGCACGCCTTTAGAAATCTCACTCGACTGGAACATTTATCTTTAACAATGAATAAAATTAAAAATTTACATAGTGACACGTTGAAAGGACTCTCTAACTTAAATACATTTTTTATTAATTATAATTATCGATTATCGGTAATTCCCGCCGGATTATTCAAAGGACTGCGCAACTTGACGGAATTTCAAGCAACGGGTTGTTCCATTTCCGAACTCGAAGACGACGTATTTTCTGACTTAATTAATTTAGAGTCCATTTCTTTAGATTCGAACGAAATTGAATATCTCCCGCCAAATCTTCTAAAAAATAATAAACTTCTGAAATCGTTTTCTTGTAGGGATAATAAAATATCGACACTTCCATCGACAATTTTTCATGGACTTTCTCATTTGCTCCAAGTAAACCTAATGGGAAATCGGTTAAAGAATCTTCCTAAAGATGTTTTTGCCAATTTGTCGTCATTGATTACTCTCGTTTTATCAAATAATCGACTGAAACTTCTACCCGAAGACATCTTTCTCCCACTGAGTCATTTACTCGAACTCGATCTCTCCAACAACAATTTAATTAAACTTTCTGGAAAACATCCTTTTGGCAGCAGCAAGTATTTGGTTACTCTCCATTTAGATAAGGCGGGTTTGATAGAATGGCCCGTGGTAAATTGGACAGCATACAATTTCAGGCGTATCGATTTTTCATATAATCGTTTTGAAACCGTCAAATTGCCAATTTACACTCCAAACCGCGTCCTAATTGAACTGTTCCGATGTAAAATCAGAACAATTTACATAGATGAGCGGAAATACGGATCTAAAACGCCTAGTTTTTTTTTAGATAAGAACAAAATTATTTGCGATCAGAAACTTCGGCAGTTCGTTTTTGCACTTAACTCAAATTTAAATAAAACATTGGAAATGTTTCCCGATATAAAGTATATAAAATGTTACGGAGAAAGAAAAACTGTGTTCGAACATATATCTTCTGTAGTCCCAAGAAAGTATTGTCCAACGAATTGCGATTGTTTCGCAGAAAAAAACGAGGTGACGTTAAATTGTTCCGGAAAGGGAATAAACAGAATTCCAAAAGCTTCTCCCCCCAATGTAACAATTGTGGATTTGAGCAATAATCACATAAAGAAACTGTCCAAGGTGGATTTTGCCACGTGGAATAACGTCACTCGTCTATATCTGAGTAATAATTTCTTAAGTAAATTTCCAGATTTTGTCCTTCCGTCACGTATGAAATTTCTGTGGTTAGACGGAAATCGGTTAACGGAACTTCCTCCCACTCTAACGAATCTCATCGACGCTTCTAAGGAATTTAAAATTTATTTATCGGGAAACAATTGGAGTTGTGATTGTAAAACGAGATTCAGAAAGGATTGGTTACTTAGGAACATGCACAAGATTGCCGATTTCTTGAAAGTTCGTTGTAAAACGACTTTGGGTACTTTGTCTTTTAGAAAAGTCTTGTCCGGTAATCATTGCCCAGGAACTGTAAAAAGTATTTCCGGAACGAAAGTCTCTATTATCGTAGTTAGTGTTTTTATTGTAATCGGCCTGATTATACTGGCGTGTATTGTATACTACAAGAGAAAAAACATCACTATCGAGAAGTCTACATTACGGGAGGATGGCGCCGCTTCTTACAATGTCTATCATCAATTTGAATAAATGAAATTGTTCTGACGTATAATACTGTATAAAATTGTATAAAGTATCTGATTGTTGGTGTTTAACAATTTGAATTTTACATCTTTTGTCAAAATTCAATTGCTTCTGTTAAAAAGATTGTATTTAAAATTAGAAAAATATATAAAATAATGGAACTGTATTTTTGTTAATTAATGGCAATTAAGAGAAATAAATTCTATAAATAAATGTAAGTAAATTTCTGCTGCGTAATAATTATTAAAATGCTGGTGTAATTGTTTATCTGAGTATTTTTGGTATTGAGAAAGAATTAAAAACAGTTTCATGACAAATTTAATTTTTTTTTATGATTTCGATTTGCTTCGTCAGAAGGGTGCAATTCGTTATTTTACACGAAAGTAATTTTAAAAACTAAATTGAACGCAAAGCAATTTCAATAGAAATACTGTATTATTTACTTCGCAACCGGGTGCGTAAGTAGACAATGGGCATCTTTAACATCACTCTTTATTCGGGAATATCTCACTTCGGTGTGATACGCATTTCGGGCATACGCCCTTTTCAGTTTGATTTTTCTTCGAGACATTTAGTAAAGAGATGCTAACTAACACAGCCAGCCTTAATTCATCCTTTCTAAATTCGTTTCAAAATAATCTCGAAATCCTCTGCCTATTCTCTATAGGGAACCAAAGTTTCATTACCGCAGGCCGGATGCAAAATCAAAGGGAAATAATCGGAATCCAAAAAAACTGATCCAACGTAAGAAAAACACCATCTCTCCGTAATAACGGGAGAAACTACCGTATAACCATATCGATAACAGAACAACAATTACAAATAAAAGAATATTCACCCGCTTCACCATCTCCCGTTAACAGTAATCAGATTTAAATCTTCACGTAAGTGAAGCAACTTCCTACCACACCAAGCAATAACTAAGTCTTTCCAATTCCTCTGCTGGGGCAATCGATACCCAAAAAATTACAAAATGCTTCAGAAATGGCATTCTCCACGCCGATTTTAGCATTAAAATCTCCGGCAATCGATACATTCCTACTATCTTAGCTCTTCGGAAGGCAAAATGCCTTTAGATATTTGATAAATAAGAAACACGGCAGTTTGTTTGTTTCCGAGCAGTTAGAGGATCTTCTATCGACACCCATTATATAGTAAGGAGAAAAAGTAAAAGGGATCGTGCGTAACTGCAGTAGATTCGGACTTAATGACGATTTTCCTCGTTATTAGCTTTTACATTTCTTTTTTAAAATAAAATTCATATCTCTACGCTCAAAATTAAGTTTTTTTGCCGTTTTATAACAGTTAAAAATATAAAAAACTTTTTTAAAAATAAAATATGATAATAGATGGCGTTATCAAAATTTTAAATGTTGCCGGGAAAGTTGAGCAACTGGTTGCCGATTTGTTTTCTATAGCGGAGAGGCGCTATTGAACGTCGCTACTAACAGGGGCTTAATGATGCTTAAGGGCATAATTTGCTCTCGTTTGGAGGAATTTTATATTAAATTATTCATTATTAAACTATCGGAACTTTTTGTTTTTACTAACGTCAACAATAACAAAATGACGTCGAGATGCGACGAAGATCGTAAGGGTGCCCCGAATGGGGGAAAAAAAAAAAAAACTAAATAACGGCAATTCCAAACTAAACAAAAAACTCCGTTCATTTAAGCCAATCGCTCGATAAACCAGGAGCTTAAATTGTTTACTTTGTTGTTAATAAAGAGATGGAGTTTCGATAAGTTTGCTTCATTTTTCCTCTCTTACGTGTTATAAAACCTAGAACGCATTAATCAAATAGCATAAAAGTGCTGCACGGAAACACTAAAAGTTAATGTATTTAAAAGCGGAATGGCGTACAGCCGTTTCTCTCTTTCAATCGTAGTGTCGTTCGTGTCTCGTACCGTAACGTACGCGATAGAAGTAATTCGACACGTTCTGTTTCGGACGGTGACGTAATTTTTCCTACCGATTCCGACTTAATCGTTGTCTAGCAATATTTAACCTACGTTTTCTCTGTGGCGGGCGCGGATCCAAAGGTCTGTCACGGGGAGGGCGATAAAAAAAACGTCGTTTTACGAAAGGTTCTAATACAAGCCAGCCACAGACGGGTTTGACAGTTTTAAGTTGTAATGTCTAAACGCTGAGCTTTTGGGTTATTGGAATATTGGAAGCTGGGGGACGATCGTCCCCATCGCCCCGTAAACCGCGGTGACTTATAATACATAGCCGGAAGATCGTTTATACGTAATAAAGACGACCGATATAGAAGGATCAGTCGTGATAAATGAACTATATACTTATTTAAATACCAAGATAGAAGTAATTACCGATTGAAACTAAAGAATAAATTTAAGTCTGTAAATAACCGCATTTACTGCAAACATTTCCTCGTCTTTTAAAGCATTTTCTATTCACTTTTACAGTTTATTTTTCCGGACTTTCCTTTATTAAAATTCGAAATCTTTTCTTTATAATTTCGTTCTTAAAGTTAACTATTTCCGGATGCACGCTTCCTCCTTTAATTTAAGTTTCTTATTCGGAAAATGAATTTATTCTTACTTTTTAAATGTAGTTTGTAATTTTAAGGAATAATCGTTAAAATTTGTCAATGTTTCATCGTCTACTCGATTCTCGCCATTTAGTTTAATTAGAAATACAATAAACGGGCGAAGTATCACCTACAAGCGCCGGTTGTTGTCAGCTGTTGTTACCCTTCGTCGCCATTTTAGATTTGGATGCCTTTTTGTTGGCTTAACGGCGTATTATAAATCCATGGAAAAGCCGGAATGTTAAGGTAAATATATGCAGTTTATACATGTAATTATGAAAACGTACGATCGCTGGGGGAAGGTCTCCATTACAACAGGGAATAGCTTTGTTTGGTATACAATCGGGAAGTTAAAGATTCGGTAGATTCGGAATGATAAAGGGAAATTTCCTTTATCATTCCGAATCTCGCGAATCTTTCGGAATTTCCCGCGATGGAGAGCGGGTTCTAAGTCCCAGCGACTGTTAACAGGGGACTGGTTGAACACGATTGTATTAATTTGTCACTTTAACGGCGAATTGGACACCTTTTTACGCCAAAATTGTGTGTAAAAGTGCCAAAAAACTTTTTAAAAAGTAATTTGGCACTTTTTGTATTCGGAGTGAATATCAACTGCTTTACATTATTGCCCGAAACATTCGTTTATAAACCCTTCGATCTTGAACAATAGAAAACGGAATTGCGCTTTCTTAACTGGCCCGTTACGTCACAGATGCCGAACGAACCCGTACCGAGTGACTTTTCTTCCGTTTTCTGNAATTAAATATGTAGTTTTTAAAATCACTGATATAGTTTTAATATGGCCCTGGGGGGATCGCCAGAAGTTTTTAACTTGCAAAGCGGTCGCGTATTCAAGAAGGTTGAGTTAGAGCATTTGGCTGCGATTCCTTGTTCCGAGAACGGGACCGAATTTGTTTTATATGGAGATTTTGGTTATCCTTTGCGTCGACACCTCATTACACCATTCCGAGGTGATAGCTTAACACCCGAGCAACAAGTATTTAATTCCAGGATGAGTTCAGTAAGAGAGTGTGTGGAATGGGTATTTGGGAAAATAATTCAGATATTTGCTTTTCTAGATTTCTGTGAAATATAACACCGATGAGTCATTGTTTACACAGCTGGATGACCTTGAATACAGCTGGAGTCCGATTTCCCGGGACATTCTCATATACGTCTCGGGAGGACAAGGGTTTAAAGTAGGGTGGATATGAGCGACACATATGTTTTTAAATATTTTTAAAAAGTTAAGATTTTAATTGCGATTTCCGACCCCCCTAATTAATTAAATTAATATATAAAAAAACGATTAATTAAAAAAATTAAAAAAACTATCGGAGGTCGTTTTTGACATCAGAAAGCAGCTTTAAATAACTTTACCGAAGGAAAATCCGTGCGCTACAAATTAGGAACCATGAAATAAATTTCATAAAAAACTCCCATTAAAAAACAATTAAGTCTTAATCGAAAAAATTTTATCGCGATTTTAATGAGCCTTATCAAAGGCTCATTAAAATCGCGATAAAATTTTTTCGCGCGGACAAAAAATTNATTCGGAGTGAATATCAACTGCTTTACATTATTGCCCGAAACATTCGTTTATAAACCCTTCGATCTTGAACAATAGAAAACGGAATTGCGCTTTCTTAACTGGCCCGTTTCGTCACAGATGCCGAACGAACCCGTACCGAGTGACTTTTCTTCCGTTTTCTGTACTCTCGTCCGAATTTCCGGTGGTAACGTACGGCGATCGACGTAATTTTACCCGTTGCGTTTGGGCGATGGCGTATGTTTTTCTTAGCGATTGAAATGTTCTCGTTGTCTAACAATATTTACGTCTCGTCCGTAATGACGTAGAATACACGTTGCAAAAAACTGTTTTACAATTACTACCTATCGGAAGATCAGTGGTAAGGTGACGATAAAAGTAGTTACCGATAGAAACTAAAATGAAAATATAAACGTGGAAATGACCACGTCTACTAAAATTATTTCCCCATCTTGTAAACTACTTAACGTTCGGATTTAAAGTTTATATTCCCGGATTTTCCGTAATCGAACTTCAAAATCCTTCCTTCACACTTTCGTTAGTAAAGTTAATTAATTTCAGATGCAAACTTCCTCAAACCTCGATTAATTTAAGTTTCTTACTCGACGATACCCAAAAAATTACAAAATGCTTCAGAAATGGCATTCTCCACACGCCGATTTTAGCATTAAAATCTCCGGCAATCGATACATTCCTACTATCTTAGCTCTTCGGAAGGCAAAATGCCTTTAGATATTTGATAAATAAGAAACACGGCAGTTTGTTTGTTTCCGAGCAGTTAGAGGATCTTCTATCGACACCCATTNCTTTATTGAGCCTTATCAAAGGCTCATTAAAATCGCGATAAAATTTTTTCGCGCGGACAAAAAATTTTGAAAAAATTCGGGGACTTAAAAAATATTCCAAAAATTCCAAAAAAAAAAAAATCTGGGGGGCCCAAACGCCCGCGTTTTCGTAACGCTATGTAACTTGCCCGAGATATCTCGGATTATGTGCTTAATTAAATAATATAGTACAGAAAAAAGTAATTTAAATTTACGAATGCATGTATTGTAAATACAGTACAGTACATATATACTTGTAAATGT